GAAACTAGAATTGACCCAATTCTACAGGAGCCCTGAACTAAAGGAAAACTAAGACTAACCACTTAACAAAACTAAAAGGTCACCTTATTCTCTAGGCGGGACCCCTGAACTCAAGAAAACTAATGATTCTTCTCAACTAGGGGAATGCCTAGGAAGTATGGTTCTTCTCAACTAGGAAAAATGCCTAGGAGGTAATGATCTTCTCAACTAAGAAAATACCTGAGGGTAATGAGATTCTCAAACAGCCTATACTTCATTAAAACAATCATGTGATCTTTTTCTCTTTTTTTCTTTTTTTTTTTAATTAAAAAAATTGGTTGACTCGTGACAAACTTGTAAGCTGAATTTTAAGCATTATTGTTTGACTTGGCTTGCCAGGGTTGAATTGAATTGGTTTCAAAGAAGGTCTAAAGTGATTCGCCCATGGGATTCGACCAAGTTCATTCCTATCACTTCACTCAAATTTTCAAAATTAATTCATTCTTTTCAGTTGAATTGTCAAATAAGTCATTTCCCTTTACCAGGATTGACGAATTGATCGTCTATTTCACATTGATTGCCAAAACTGATCATCTGCCTTCCTAATTTGGGACTTCTTTGTGGCAAATTTAAAAATTCTTTCTTGCTTGTATTGAGCAAAAGAAGAAGAACAAATGCACAAGTAAAAATCAAAGAGAGTGGTGTATGATGAGATTCCACTGAGAAGGAGAGCTTATCTAAAATGAAGAATAAGGTAAAGGAATGTGACATGCATTTAGACCAATAACTTGATTTGTCAATCTTTTCAAACTTGTTGACTCTTCAAATTCTTACGTGATGTTGATGAGTTGGTCTACTTTGCTCCTCCAAATGTGCCGCAGATGTTGCATGTTTTCATCAAAAACATTTTGTTGCACACATATCTCACCATTTTGACTTGTAGTGCCTCGAAAGGTTTTCACCGACAAGTCTCTCTCATTTTTCTCTTTGCTCTCATTCATTGCCGCTTTCAATTCTTAGCTTGGTTAATTGACTACCCCTTCAATCGTTATTGATTTTTACAAAAATCTTGATAAGCTCATAACATGCTTGACTTAGCATTTTCAAGAATCAATCTGATAAGGACTTTTATTTGAATCGTAATGAAGGCTTTTGGACAAGGTGAGAAACAAAGGACTGCATGGAGACTCAAAATTGTAATGACGGGGTTACTTTATTTACAACTTTTGGGATCCATTTTAAACACTTTGCCCTAGTTTCTACAACAGGAGAATTTATTTTTTTTCCTTTTTGAGATGGAATTTCTAAGAAAACTGCCCCCTCTTGACTTCGTGGGATTATGAAATATTTTATTTGGTGCGACCGAACCGTAAGGCTGCCTACGTATCTTGTGGTAACAAGAATCAGGTCGAACGCAGTTCAAAAGAATACTTTTTTGTTGTTGCCAATTTTTTTTTCTTCCCTTTTTCTTCTTTTTTTCTTTTTTTTTTGATTCCTTTTTTTCTTTATCTCTTTCCTTTTCTTCTTTTTTTTCTTTCGGTATGAACTTCTAAAACAAACCTTATGGGGACATGGATTTTTTTTAGTGACTCTAACTTGATTCCAAAAGAGGAGAGGTCAAAGAAATCAACACTGGCTCAAAAGGGTACCGAAGGGTATAAAGTATTTGGGTAACTGAAAGAGGGCCTCCCAATCTCTGAAAATGGCAAGTACATCACATGCAACTTGAGGATAAAAAATAAAAATCATGGCACAATATTTCTTTTGCAGCTTCAGCATTGATATCACTTATCTGCCTTCCACTTTTTTTTAGTGCCTTGTCAAGTATAGAACTCTCGTTGGGTGATTGCTTCTTCACACTAGATACCGTCCATCAGTTTAGGACAAACTCCCTTGGCTTTATCTTATAACTTGAGATGCACTTGAACTCAAATTTCTTTGTTTCAAATTGTCCAAGACGCACTCTCTTTTAACAAATTCTTGTCGTCCTCTTAACTTCACAAAATGTCTGCCTCAGTTTCACACAATTCGGGCTTTAAATGACCTCAAAATGTCCAAATCTTTACTTATTTTCCCTCAAATGTCCCTGTCATCTTCAAACCTTGTTTCATTGCTTCATGATTAGACTAACTTTCAAGACCAGGCTGAGAATTATGCGTGCATGTCATGTCACTAGAATCACCATGAAGAGAACTAAACAAAAACTGACTAAAAATAACAGAAAACAGGAGATTGCATTAGGACAGACGATGAAAGGGTTTGAACAACAAAATAAGCAAAATAGACATGGGTTACAACCCTGGAACAATCCTAGATAACACTAGATGAGTTACTACAACTAAACACACTACGCAAAATAAGAGGAAGAAGGGTTTGAGCGACAAGACAATATTCAGATTACAACCGTGAAATAACCCGGACAACAGAAACGACGACAAAATAAACTACCAAGACTCCTCCATGGCTAACCAAGAAAGGAGTGTCTTTCCAATTTCTAAGCTCGACATCTAAGCCACTGAGTCACACATCAACGTTACTAGGACCTTCACAAATCTCCATCACATTGACCTCAGCAAATTGCTTTTGGGTCCCTTTTGCCACCTCGTTCTTAAGATCAACTTTTGGAACCGAGACTGATAGCGGTGAAAACTTTGCAAAAAGTGGTCCTCCAAGAAACTCAGAAGAGTTCTCATATTCCTTTTCAACACAAATTATGCCCACCATATGCATCTCATTATGAACAGGCAATGGACTTTGGCTAGTAATCGCTGCATCTAGATTTTGCACGATAATGTCACCTGAATCAATAAGCTTCTGGACTGCTCTTTTCAAATTCCAACACTTTTCTATGTTGTGCCCTGGGGAATTAAAGCAATATGTGCACCTTTGAGAATAATCAAAATTCTTTGGAAGGGGGTTCGATATTTTTATCTGAATAGGCTTCAACATGTCCAATTGCCTCAACTTTTGGAACAAACTGGCATATGATTCTCCAATAGAAGTGAGACTTTTCCTTTTGTTGCTGCCTTTTCATTTTGTACTCCGGCCTTGGTAGGAACCTCTTGCGGGTAGGTGGTTTATATGCCTGTAGAGGTGGGTAAGACATTTGTGGAGGTGGTGTAGGCCATTGCGGGTCTGGTGGATGTGAAGCATATAGCGGTGCGTTGTGGATAGAGTACCGGAAAAGTAAGGTATGACTTTGGGGATTTTGTGGAGAGAAGTAGCATTGGGGAGGATTATCTGGAGTACGGGGATATTCATAAGATCGATGTTGTGGATAAGAGTGTTGAGGAAGAAGGCCCACCAGATCTCGTCGTTTCCGGGGCTCAACAACATCTTTTCTGTTTCTTTTTCTTCCACCCAAACCTACGGATACGTGTTGAATAACCTCTGTGGTGTCTCTCAACGTAGGGCAACTCATGAATTTGCCTGAATTGATTCCTTCTTCTACCATCTCCCCCATTTTCACCACATCATTGAAAGGCTTACCTAAAGATGGGATCAAATGACTGAAGTAGGTGGGTACCTCAGCTTGTAGGAAAAGCTTAACCATTTCTTCATCATCAATCGGGGGACTGACCCAAGTAGCTTGTTCCCTCCATCTGAGCACAAACTCCCTAAAACTTTTATCAGGTTTCTTTTCCATCTTAGATAGGGAGGAACGATCTAAGATAATGTCTATATTGTACTAAAAGTGTCGAATAAAATCTTGAGCCATGTCATCCCATGTATGCCAATTACTGACATCTTGACGAGTATACCATTCCAAGGCTGCCACACTCCAGCTCTCACTGAAATATGCCATCAACAAATCATCTTTCCCGCCAACACTTCTCATTTCATTGCAATAACCCCTCAAATGGGCTACTGGATCTCCAAGCCCATCATACAAGTTAAAGTTTGGCATTTTAAACACCGCGGGCGGATGAATATTGGGAAACATAGACAAGTCATTGTAGGACACGTTAATCTGATTTCTCATCCCTTGCATATTCTTTAAGGAGTGTTCTATACCCTTCAGCTTTCTGGATATCTCATCTCGCTCTTTTCTCCTTGTGAACTTTTCATTTTCAACATGAGGCTCATTCCGAGGGCTATGATTGTATGAGTCCGGGACCTGGTTGGCCAACTATGGGAGGTAGTATTGGGTATCATGAGGTTTGAACAAGTGTTCACCGTTGGACCTAAAAGGAGGTTGTTGAGAAGTTGTGATGGTGGAGGTAGCAGATATGACAGGAGGAATATTTTTGGGAAAGGTAGCTAGAGGACGAACGATGGAGCTGCTAGGGAGGTTGGGAAAGTTGTGATAAACGGGAAAATCTAGAGAGTATGGTGGATCTTCTAGCACTATGACCAGAGCTTGGGTAAGGGTAGCATCTAAGAAGCTAGGTGGTGGTGGGGATAGTGTCTTCCCAGCCATCCAAGCCTGGTACATATCCGCCATATATTATCTTAAAATCCTTAACTCTTCAACCAACCCAGTATCCTGTTCAACCAATTGCTTTTGGGCCCAGTATCAACCAACTCAATTCCGTTGTCGTCTGCCATTGCCTTTCGACTTTATGTTGTAGGGAAAAAGTTACTAGTTTAAGAACAACAAACCAACCACCCTTGTGCTATAATAAAGATAACAAAGAGGAACAAAATCAAGTCATCATATTAGTATTAGGGCATTTAACAAAATATAATCTCACATTATATGAAATGCACCTAGTCACAGTTATCGATTCTAAAATGACTTCGAGGGTACGAAGGTCATATTGGCATCATCCAAAGTTTACTCTTCTTGCCCCTTTTACTCTTCATTTTTTCTCTTTAACACTTCTTGGTTTTCTCATTTTCTTTCCTCTCCTTTTCTTTCTGATTATCACTCTTTTCTTTCCTCTAACTTCTTACATCCCACAACATCATCACTTTTTTTAATTCTAAAAATGATTTGATCGAACCCGATGTAGGTTGCCTACGTATCATGTTCCACATGAATCAGACCAAACGTAGTTCTGGAAAAGTAATGGAAAAAATAAACTAAAAACAAAAATCTTTTTGGATTTTTCATTTATAATATTTTTGGTTTTCACATACAAAATAGGAAGTACGATAACAAAAGATTCGACGAACTCAACTAGACTATGACAGACTTTGACACCACCTAAGAGACTCAATACTATTGTATAAGACTAGAAAGTAAAAGACAACATAAAACAAACTCAAAAAATAAAAAGTCCCCTTAAACATCTCCTGAAGGCAACGGTCCTGGCTGGGAAGCTCCTGGGGCGTCTGTCGTGCTCAAGATCTGGTAAATGAATCCATACCTGAATGAGAAGAATAAGACTAAATAGAGTTAGTGACTCAAGACACTATGCGATGCCACAAAACCTTCTATTGGACACATGTAAGTCATGATTGGGCTATATTTGTAAAATGGCCTACGTGGCCAAGGGTGACTATTAGTACGAACTCAACAAAAATGACCTCCAAGACATGGAAATATCTCACTAAAGCTTATATGGCTTCAAACTCCCAATAATCATGGCCCTAGAAATTACTTTGCAAAAATGACCCATTTTGCAAAAATGGATGATATGGCCAAACACGGCAAGAGATGCAAATTCAACAAGGACGGATCTTAAAGTAATAGGCAAAATGACCCCATTTTGCAAGAATGGTCGATGTGGATAAAAATGGCTAGACATGCAAATTCAACAAGGACGTGCCTTAAAATAAGGAGACAACTAATTGTGAATTCAAGACTCTCCGAACACGGTTCAACAAGCCACTTTGCAAAAATAGCCTTATTTTGCAAAAGGGTCGATGTGGCCAAAAGCGGCTAGGCATGCAAGATTTGGCTACGACCTCCGAAGCCAAGAACTTAAGACTCACTAGGAAAATCGGACCCTATGTGGGCTGCTTACGTATCCCGCCCAAAAATATGAGAATCAGGTATGCGTGGTTCGGGAAGATTGGATACGGAAGAAAATTAAAAAAATAACTGATTTGGAGAAAACATATTTTTTGTCTTTTTGAAAAATGATGGAAAATGTAAAATCTTTTTGGATTTTCTTTTTCTCTTGTTTTTTTTTATTTTTGGAAAAAACTATGAAAGAAAAATGTGGATGGGCCCAACTTGCTTCATTTTATACTTCACCCTCTTTTCTTTCTCACTGTTCCGCCAAATGACCCCTTCACCCTTAAAGAATACATCATGTAGCACATAGGGATGGTTAAATATCTTTTTGGGCCATGGGCCCGGTTTGACATAATTTGGATAGGCCTCCTACAACGGGACACAGTGCTTGGGACCGAGCCTTGCTAGGTCTAAATGACATGATGCAAATAAGCATGACCTAAAAGATGACCTACGTTTGGGATTCACTAGACAAGGTAATTCAGGGCGACACGTGGTCGATAGCGGCTGCTCTAGCTTTTCGCTCACTTCACGCTCACATGCCATCCCCTAAAGACACGGGTGACTCACAAAAGGCCGTATAAGCTCAAACGTACTCCGGAAGACTTGTTGCGGAAAAAAGACTCATAGTTATGAAAATGATGACAGTTTTAAAGCAGTAAACACATAAAGAAAAAACTGTAAACACATAAACAACTAGCAAATAATAACAAACTATAAAAACACAACAAAATTCAGATAAAGCAAATAAAAAACATAAAAACCTCAACTGAATTTTCTAAAAAGCCAACAAGATCGTAGTATCAGCTCGAACCTGCAACTCCCCAGCAGAACCACCAAAACTGTCACACCCCCGTTTCACCTCACTAACCCTCTTTAAAAATAATAAAAGATTTTTGAAGCTTGAAAGGGTTTCAATTTGAAAAGTGACAAAAAGATTGCATCTCGAAGGAATTTCATAGTCGCCACCTGACATTTGGTTTCGGTGTGCCATGTCACCATTTTTAAAATAACAATTCCCTTCAAAATACATTTGACTCTTAAACAAGTTTGCACCAAAGATTCAGGTAAGAAGGTTCATTTGACTCAGGGAGAAGGTGTTAGGCATTTCCTGAGTCCCGTAACTACTACGGTTGAGTACATGATCAAATTGGCTTTTAAGAATACTCAGATTGACTTGGAAACACGAAAGAGGCTCGAGGTCATCCTCGTCTAATAAAAGAAAAATAAGAAAAAAGAAAAGAAAGTACTAAAAGAAAATATACCAAAAGTTCTAAGCTATCCTACACTACATTTCCTCCACGATGTAGTTTCGGCCTCCGTTTACATTCACTTCGGGGCATACCCCAGATAAAATATTTTCAAGCCCTTCGGGGAATTCCCCGGATAAAAATAACATACTAAAGGGACAACCTCTCACCTCTGAAGCTAAAATCATAAACATCTTAAAGTTTGCCTACGCCAAGCTTTGTCGGCCTAAACATGCTACTAGCGGATAAATTAGTAAATAGATCTACGTAAACAAGAGATTCAGAACCCTAAAAACTTATGTTTTACCTCATTCCATAACTTTTAGGTCCAATCTTATTTTAAAGCACATCTCTACAAACGGTTCTCTTAAATCCAACAAATAACAGTCCAAATTGTCCAATTCAAATTAATGATTAGTAACCCATTTACGTTTAGAATCAACCTTAAACCCAAATTCGTTTCCTAATTAACCAAAGCAATAACTTACAGTAAACCACAATTTTTATCATACAAGTTCAAGATATCACAAATAAGCATGAAATTCACACAAGTCCATCACCCAAACATCATATAAGACAAAATCAATAAATAAAGGGTAAGATAGTGACGGACCTCAAAGCAAAGTATTTTTGATTCTGAAAATGCTTAACACCAGAAAATTTAGACAACGACAACCTCGACGGAACCGCGAACCTGTCCGGAACCTTAGACTCGACCTTCGACGAGCTCAAAACTCGTCGGAAAACTCGAATTAAACCAAAACCATGAAACCAACAGACTCTGTGACAGTGACTGGCGATTTGGAGCGGCTTCATGCTATTTAGGGTGCTTTGTAGGTGAATTTCACAGCTGCCTTTTTCGGAGATAAGACAATTGGTTTTACATGATTATGGAGGTTTAATGGAGTATGGAGAAGAAAAGGTTAACAATGGTGGAAAAGCCAATTTCTTAGAAGTGGGATCGAGAAGATGACTGCAGCACTAGGGATTCCTCCCTACTGTTTCCCCTATTTGTTTCCTGCCTCCCCGTTAATTGTTTCCTCTTCTCACTCTCTGTTTTTGCCGTTCCTCTCCTCCTCTCGTTCTCACTGTTTCTCTCAATTTCCCCTCTATCTCTTCTTAGTTATCCCTCTCTGTTCGTGCTCTCTCTCTGTTCCCACTAGGCGTGACTCTTCTTCTATCTATATTTGTGTGCAACTGCCTAGGGTCCTTAGGGTTAGAAAAGGTTATAATTAGGATTTTACATAGGTGTGGGGAAATAACAAGGGCCATTAGATTAAAAAAAATATAGGGGTAGGATTGAATAGGGTGTTGGCGGGTCAGCAGGCTTAGTGGGCTAATGGAATTGGGCTGGCCGATTTTGGGCCTCTTTTGTCCCAAAGTAAGATAAAATAATGAGCCTAAACTATTAAAATACTACCAAAATATTAATTAATCCTATGTAAGTAGAGTAAACTATTAAAATAAAACTAAACACTAAAATAAAACTGTTTTTGGTATTTTTCAAATATCATACTAAAGATAAAAGTAGAAGTAGGTTAAAATCATAGCGAAATTAAAATAATATCATTTCCAAAAATAAAAGTAAGGACATTAAATAAATATATGTATAAATATGCGAAATATTATAAGGATGAAATTATTTTTGTAGTTTTCAATTTTATGCTTTAAAACTAGAATTAAAATTAATAATAGAGTGAAATCCTATAGAAATAAACTCAAATAAATATTCTAAAAATACTAAGACTACTAAAGATAATCCTAATGTGCGAGTCAAAAATTACGTGCTTACAACCATCTAACTCGCTTTTGCACTCTTCTAATGGTTTTGCTTCCTATAAAAACAGACACTATAAAAATAATATAATAAAAATTAAAATAAAAGAAAGCAATAAAGCTAGGTTGCCTCCCAACAAGCGTCTGATTTAACGTCGTGGCACGACTTGAACCACTTTTTGTCTCCATCTCGAATATGTGAATTGAGTCCCCAATTTGGCTTCATGCTTTTTGCTATGCTCTCGGGGTGGTGGGACTAATGTAATCAGGTCAAGTAATAAATTTTGCATTCTACACTTCTTGGCCTTCAGATGAGGTATATAATTATTTCTCTCTGGCACAATAAGTTCCAAAATATAAGCACCTTGTTCCTCATCCGTTGGCTCCTCCAGAGGCTCGAATGACTCAATATTCATATCATAATCCAAATACAGTGTCAAAAATGCATGGAATGAGGACCAATACTCCCCAGATCTAGAATTGCGTCACTATTTACATCCTCATATGTACACACACTAGAGTCTTCAAATATAACATTATCTACTTCCTCACATGACTCTAGCGTTCTTTCCTCAACATGGACATCGTCAATAAAAGTATGGTCTAATGCTTGGTATTCTCGTTTTAGCTCCTCAATTTGGTCTAGAAGATTTTTTTCAATTTCACACAACTCATCATTAAATTGTTGGGCGTTGAACGCATCAACCTTTGCACTCAAATTTGCATCCAACTTGTGCAAAGCCAAGCCAAACTTGTCAATTTCTTGTGCAAGATTAACTCTCTCCTTCGACCAATCATTCACCAACTTTGATAGAAGATAACATCATTCCGCATATTCCCTTAATCGTGAATATCCATCCCAATATCAACCCTTACTCCCATATTCAAATTCAAACCTCCCAGAGTTCAGGTCATGACAAGCCCAAAAAGACGGGCCATAAAAGTCTTCCGTCAACCAAGCGTCTTCACCAATAACTTTATTTTCGGATATTTCATCCCCAAATATCATGTTGAGAGAACTATGAACACACTAAGAGAAAAATAAAATTGTTATAAAAATAAAAATATTTCCAAAAAGAAAAATAAACAAAACCTGTAAAGATAAAAATAAAAGTCTAATCTAGGAAAATAACTAAATAGAAAAATTAAAAACTTGAACAGAAATCAATTAAAAGCTTAACTTAGATAAAAAATCAAGAACTAAGTCCCCAGCAACGACGCCAAAAACTTGTTGGTTCCTTAAGTACACGCAAGTATACGTGACCGTCAAGTAATAAAGTGACTCAAAAGTCCGATGTTGAACCCATAGAGACTTAGATTAATCGTTAACTACACAAACAAAAATTAATTAGCTGTCCAAGATAATAAATTAAAAATCTTGATTATCCTGTATTCCCAACAGTTGTGGAGTGGGAGGGACTACCAAATATCTACCATAAACGTTGGCCATCGAAGTTCCATATTATTGTAGAAATCAAGCAAGTGGTCTTATTGATGATAACGAAGAAATACGAGAAATGTGTGTCAATTGAGGTTAGATTATGATGCCCTTGGTCCAGCCGGACGCAAACAAGACGATGACGAAGAAGATGAAGAAAATGACAATAAAGAGACCGACGAAAGTAACAATAAATTAGTTCCCGACAGTGACGATAATGACTAATGAAAATATTTCTTTTTTTTTCCTCATGTTTTTGTTAAGTTTGTTATTGAATTTTCAATGCAAATGTCAACTAGAGTTAATACTATTGAAAATACAATTTTATTTTATTTATATTTCAAACACACCATTACAGACACTTAATCTTATTAAATATACTGCTATAAAAAACTATTAATATACCTGAAAATTACCAATATTGGATGAACTGCCACCATGAGCTGAATTGCCACCGTGTCCCAAACCTATAAGTGCTTGCGTATGCAGACACACTATATTCTCTATCAACATACCTCGTCGCTGCAAACCAGTATATCGAAAATATTTCATGGCATGTGAGTAAGGCAAGTGCTAAATTGACCATTTCCCACATGAATATAATCGTGCGCTCTCACTGATGGTGTGGGTATTATTATCGCGGTCTCGATGCAAACCAGTGAGAACTTCAAAAATATTTCGATTGCTGCAATATTACAAATATATATGCCATTGTGACCACTTCCTATAACGCTTAAACCGTTGCATCAGTTGTGGCATAAATTGAACACCTCTTTCCAACAAGGAACATACCTCTAGCCATGGTTGTTCAAGTGTTGTGGAGTTGCCTGGACAAAAAAAAAAAGGAAAAGGGATATATATATATATATATATATCCCTCTAATATCAAATATTATTTAAAGTTACAATCAGTTATACTAATCGATCAAAACTGCCCCTACCGTCATACTATTAAATATATTTGCCCCTCATTTGAGGGAAGGGACATGTGGTAGCCTTTTATACATTTTTATAACCCAACCAATTGCTCATACTGGATACCCAATATTTATAACCCTAAACCTGACCATCCCAAAACGTATTTCATCTCTTTCACAAGAAAAGCTCCTTCCTCCAAAAAATGGTGGTACTTAAATTTAGCAGTAAATTTAAAAAATGATGGTACTTAAATTTAGCACTAAATTCTTCCAACGAGCAGTAGTTAATATCTTTTATTTAAGCGCATACAACACCACGATTCAATTATCAAGAAATAATGTTTAAAAGAATTTCAAAATAGACAATTTAAGTTCAAAGAAGTCCAAATTTGCAATGATATTTGCAACCTCAATTCTCAACAGCAACCATAACTTAGAATCAAATTAATGCTCAACTGCCAACTGCAAGTACTATCAAATCCTTCAAATTAGAATTTTCAATCATAGAAGCACTAATAGAATTTTTCACGCTTAGTTGCTCGAATATTTCGACTCGGAAAATGAAGATATTTTTTTTGAACCTCTAATCCAATTCACCAAGAAACCCCACACCTCTTTTACTTGCAAATATTCTTTAACCAAGCTAAAAAGTAGTGGTTAATCTAATATTTTAGCTCAACAAAATAGACCTAGATAATTATTTCAATAGAATAATTCAACACTTTAACAATTTGGGTTCCAACTCGGATAACTTAAGAACCCAGCAGTTGGAGTTCGATTATTTTTACCAAATTCTTTAAATCAGTTGCTAGTACAATTCTGACTCAAGAGCATCTCCAAACACTCGAGCCAACTTTTGAATTTTCAAGCATCCAACACCACAAAATTTCCTTTTCGGATTTTTTTTAAAATTTGGAAATCAAGGCAATAAACAAGGAATTATTAAAATAATTTTTTAGTCTACACTCTGAAACAAAAAGTTTCAATTTGTAAGAAATTTGGAAGCATCTAGTCATGGAGAGTTATGGAGGAAGGAGCTTCTCTTGGGAAGGAGATAAGATAAGAGAAATAGATGAGGATTTAGTTGATTAAATCTGGGATGGGTCAAGCATAGGGTTATGGACATCGGGTATCCTGTATGGGCAATTGGTTGGGTATTAAAAAATGTATAGAAGGCTAGCATGTGTCCCTTCCGTCAAATGAGGGGCAACTATATTTAATAGTAAGACGGTAGGGGTAATTTTGATCCATTAGTATAAGAGAGGGTAACTTTAAACAATAATTGATAATAGAGGAATATATATGATCATGTTTCGGGAAAAAAGAAACTCGACAGAACACCTAGGAGCTTATAGACTGTGTCTATTGTAGAATGCCAGACTGATGAAGTCACATGCGTATTTAACGGTATACTAGGGACTCTTAGGCAAATACTTTATCCCTAGGGACTTCTCCATAAAATATAATTACCCTAGGGACTCCTTATAAAAATATATTTCTTTCCATTAAAAAAACTACCATATATACATAACTAGAGAATATTATCTAATATATTATTTATTGGGGAGATAAGGTAAATAATTTATTATCTAATATATTGGCCACACTAGAAATCTTTAGAAACAATGGTAAATTTCAAACCTAATAACCGTTCAATGACCTTCACCCTTTCATGTGGATGGATATACACCTTGCGGTTTCATTAATTATCAGTTACGCGCAAAAATATTTTAATTATATATTTCAAATATTTTGGGCCCCCGTATCAAATATATGAATAAAGGCCAATTTAGGAAATTTTTTGTCATTGTTATAAATATATTATATTATGAATGTTCATTTAGTACTTTGTTGTAAATAAGCTTCCTGAAGAAACTTATTCATATGTGACTCCACCGTAAATATGTTTATCTATTTAGTACACTATTGGAAATAAGCAACCTAAGAAGTTTATCCTTTTGGTACTTCGTTATGGATAAATGTTACCCCGGTAGAAGATTATCTATATCTAGTACAATGAGCTTATCCTCTCGGTACTCCGTTATGGATAAATATTACGTAGAGGATTATCTATATTCTGTACAA